AGGGATTCACTTGGTCTTTGGCTAAAGAGCGCAAAAATATTAATTTCCTGCTGCATAAAGTCTTCCATGGTAGGCACACTTACTGGTGGTTCATTTTCTGAAAATTCCATTTTTCTCCTGATGACTGGTCTCACATCTGCAGAGTCATCTGAGGCAACGGCCCCATGAGACTCTGCAGGGTACCAGATATAATTATCAGCGTCATCAGTATTATGATCCACCTGCACAACCTCTGAATGGACCTTCTTATGCGCACAGTGCCCCCGTCTCTTTCCACGCTTACACTGGGCAACCTGCACTGTAGCCTTCTCAGGCACAGTTTGACCAGCATCCAGTTTATCAGCAACAACCTTAATCTGCCCACGTTCGCAAAGGTCTAAACAGACCGGGGCCCAGCTTCAAGGAGACTCAGGAGGTCTTCCCTGAACCAGGAGGCTCTGTGGAGTGCACTCCATAGACAGACACTCCTGACTCCCTGCCAGTGGTCCCAGCTTTTTTCCCCAAGCAGACCCCTGACCTTTGTCAGCTCCCTGCGGGACCCCTGGGGCTCATTTCCCTTCTGGCTCTCTCTGCAGGGCTAGCTGCACCCTGGGGGGAAGCTCTAAGGCAAACTCACCACCTCTTTATGAAGGGCTGTGCGAATCACCCATATGTCGACCTTAATTTGGGGCTCAGGGTTCAAAGCCCAGCATTTACAAGAGGACAAGCCATCTTGAGCAGCAGAAGCAACTGAAGTTGGCAGGCATGGGCTAGTAGATTCATGTAGCATTGTGGCCACAACCACCAGAGCCCTCTCCTCTCTTCTGCAAGAGGGAGATGAGTCCTAAAAAGAGAATTATCAAATCACAGAATAGTTCCAGCTAGAAAAGGAACTAAGATCAAGTCCAGTGGTTGTAGAAGATGACCAACATGCTGTCTCAAGAACACTCTATCTTTTAGAGGATGGATTCATCTCTCTGTTTTTTTCCAGTGGTTACCAGTTACATCCAGCATTTCTACATGTAAGAAACACATAAGAGAATTTACAACAGAATTGAGGTAGAACAGAAAAAAACCTGAACTGCTCAGAGCAGGAGGGCAGGGTGCAGTCCCTAGGACCAGCTTTATTCCTGGGCACAGTGCACACTGCAGAAGAAATAAAATATATTAATGTTAGAATTGACCACTTTGAAAATTGCCTGTTGACAAGGAAGGGTTGTGTTTTAAGCTGTCCACAGAGTAAGAATATTATTGGCCAAGGGGACCACAGAAATCCTCATCAACTGGAGATGTAAAGGTGAGAATGTAGAAATTGCCTCTAGCCTTTCGGCTACACCTGCGAGCAAAAAAGGTGCAGATAAAGCTGCTGTTGGCTGAGAATTACTCTATTAAATGCTTTTGCTGGAAGATTGTGTTAGTGGGAAACACAAATGTTTGAAGAGGAGCTTGTTTCACTGCAGACAAGATAAAACAGAAATGGGACTTTACTGTTTTTTTAAAACAAAAAAATCTTTGTCTTTGTCAGAATGACTTTTTGCGATCTGTTCTTTTTCTTATTTCTTATAAAGATAAATGAGGTTGAAACTGAAATGTTGTATTGCGATTGATGAATATTCATTTCTTTTCAATTATTGGTATGAGAAAGTTAATATTGGGATGAATCAGAGGTACGAGTCAAAATTTTGAGTTTCCTAACGGAGAATTGCATCCCGAGAGCTGTAGTTCCTGCGTCATTCTGCTCAACTGCCTTTGTTGTTGATCCATTCTTTTACCTGGTGTTTTGCAGGATGGGATAAACATTCTTATGGGTACCATGGCGACGATGGGCACTCCTTTTGTTCTTCAGGGACAGGACAGCCCTATGGCCCTACCTTCACCACTGGAGATGTGATCGGCTGCTGTGTCAACCTTATCAACAATACCTGCTTCTACACAAAAAACGGCCACAGTTTAGGTAAGTAGAGAAGGATGTTCTCGGGTGAGGGATGCTCCAGCCCTGCTCTTGTTGCTGTTAATACTTCAAATGTGTTGTAACTCTTGTCCCACGTTTGTGGATAAGATTTAAGACACGGGAGAGATAAAGAGCACTAAGCAGCAGACAGGAGATGTAAATTGGCTCCAAGTCATAAATACTCATAGAATTATTTCTGTGCTGCTCCATTTGTTTAAGTAGATCAGGATTTCATCCCCAGCTTGTGTTCCTTTCCTCTGCTCCTGCATTGACAGTGGGAGGTTGGATCAGATGGCTAATGGCTGGGAAACAGGGAGACAAAAATGTGGAAAAGGTAGTTAGTCTATTATTCAACTGACTACGAAGCCACTGTATCAGTCTGTTCACCTTTTAAAGGAACTTGTCCATCTGTAACACATTGATTCATGTGTTCCCAAAGCTAGATATTAATTCAGCATAAGTCTGATTTAACCTTTGACCTGTGATTTAGTTCATTCCACAGCTGCTTTAGTAGTTCCCCTAAAGTCAAAGACTTCAAAATTTTGCCCAAAGGAATCTCTCTCAGATATTTTCCAGGCATCCATCATATCTGGTTTGTCTAAAATGAGAAGTTGTTTCCATTCTAAATATCTTTCCCTTGGATGACGTATTCTTCACCCCTGATAAATTCTTGTCTTTTTGTTGTTGTTGTCCCATAAGATGTGCAGTAAATTTTGATAAGTCCACGTCACCTTTTGCACTGGAATTCATTTGGTTTGGCAGGGACAGGCACTCCTTTCCTTTGCTTCTCCTTGCTACCTGGATGAGTTCAAGATGAAGAACCTGGCAGAAAAATACCTCAGTCAAAAAATTTATCGGAACAAGAGTTGTTTTGAGTTACTGGCTGAGCTGAAGGGAGGAGTGAGATTGGAGTGTGATGTGTGCCTGGAGAGAGTATAATTTCTGGTGAGCTCTTGGGAAAATTACTACAGGGAGAATTAGAGAGAGAGAGACCTACTGGAGAGAGTCCAGGAAAAGCCTGCCAAGATGAAGAAGAGATTGGAATGTCTGTCCTCAGATGAAAGGCTTAAAGAGCTGGGGCTGTTCAGGCTGGTGAAGGGGGATCTTGTGAGTCGGTATGAATACCTGAAAGGAGGATGCAGGGTAGTTGGAACTAAACGATGGTTAAAGTCCCTCCCAACCCAAAGCATTCTATGTTTCTATGATACAAAGGAGGCACATCCAGGCCCTTCTCAGTGCCAGGAGCAGGGGCAGTGGGCACAAACTGAAACCCAGGAAGTTTCCTCTGAACCTAAGGAGACACTTTCATTTTGAGAGTGACCAAGCACTGTCACAGATTTCCCAGAAAAGTTGTGGAGTCTCCATCTGTGGAGGTATTCAGAAATCGTCTGGACACAGTCCTGGGCAAGTAGTGCTGGGTGGCCCTGCTGGAGAAGGGGGGATTGGACCAGATGACCTCCAGAGGTGCCTCCACCCTCAGCCAGCGTATGATTCTATGAAGGCAGCATGCTATGCTACAGATCCAGCAAAGATACAGGTATGAGATGCAGGCTTTTCCTCTCAAATCTCAAGAAATATCCTTCCTCTGAGGCAGATGCATAAAGGCCTTACGCGCAAGCAGACAGAACTTATTTTGGAAATTTGTTTTCAGTTTTCCTCTAATTTCATACCCACCTGTCCTTGATCTGTGAGGGGATGTTGCCTTGAAATGAGGCCTTCTGAGAAGCATTGTAGATTGAGTCTGTGACTGTTACACTCAGCAACTAGTCCTGATGCTTTGCAATATCTCCAGAGGTCTCCAGCCCTGAATGGAAAAAAGAAAAATTATTTGAGCATCCTTTGAAGCTTGTTTTTAGCATTCTAAATTTCATAAAGGGAGCCTCAGTCAAAAACCCAGTGGGGAGCTGCTCAGAGTTGAATGTCTGATCTGGCTGCTGCTTCTTTTAAATTATAACTATTTACAAGCCAAACCACGTGTAATGGTGAGGGACCCGTAGTGAGGAGTTGTGGCTTATAGCTTAGCGAGATCAGTCACTAGTGGAGACACTAGGAGTCATTTGTTCATCTATAAGTATTTGCTAATTGCCCAGATTTCTAATAGCTGGATGATTCTAAATTTAATTCACAGTCTGTGGACATTGCACTTGTCAGTCCTGTAATAGGGAGACAAATAGAGGAAAGCAGGCAACAGTTGATGGTGTAAAGGAGGTATTGCTTAGGATTGAGGCAAGTTCACCATACACAGTGACTAAGGTGCTGAAATAATTTAAAATATTTCACAAAATCTCTCATTTTACTTGCTGTCCTTGGTTTTTAGTGTGTATTTACACAGAAACAGTATAGTTATTGCCATCCTCTGGTTCTTTGCCTGGTGCCCTGCTAAGAGATTTATGTTGTTTGGGATATTTGGAGGTCTTCACAGCAATGAAGTTGCTTGGTCTTCCTCTCTTGATTTTTGCCATACTTTTTCCTTCAAACACGTTTTTGTTTTGTTTTGTTTTGTTTTTTTGGATGGAAAACTTGTGTTTTCTAATCTGACATTGAATGATCCCTTGGGCAGCAGCCTACCCCAGTGGTGAAGTGTGTGTTAGATGAGTGGACAGTGAGGTAGATTGAAAACTGGCTGAATAACAGAGCTCAAAGGGTTGTCATCAGTGACACAGAGTGTAGCTGGAGGCCTGTAGCTAGTGGTGTTGCCCAGGGGTCAGGATCGAGTCCAGTCTTGTTCAGCACCTTCATCAATGACGTGGATGAAGGGACTAATAGACCCTCTCCCAGTTTGCTGGTGATACAAAACTGACAGGAGTGGCTGACACATCAGAGCTGTGCTGCTGTCCAACTTGGGCAGAGAGGAACCTCAAGAAGTACAAAAGGGGCAAGTGTAGGGTCTTGGACGGGGAGGAGTAACCCCATGGAGCAGTACAGGTGAGGGGCTGACCTGCTGGGAAGCAGCTCTGCAGAGAAAGATCTGGGAGTGTGGAGAAGAACTAATTGCCAGTGAGCCAGCAATGGGCCCTCATGGCTGAGAAGGCCAATGGTCACCTGGGGTGCACTGAGAAGTGTGGCCAGCAGGTCAAGGAAGGTTCTCCTCCCCCTCTGGTCTGCCCTAGTGGGGCCACCTTGGGAGTATTTGGCCCAGTGCTGGACTCCTCAGTTGCAGAGAGACAGAGTACTCTGGACTCAGGAGAAAGTCCAGCAGAGGTTGTGAAGATGCTGAGGGTCCTGGAGCATCTCTGTGCCAGGAAAGGCTGAGAGCCCTTGGGCTGTTCAGCTGGAGAAGAGAAGCCTGAGAAGGGGATCTGATCAATGCTGAGCAAGAGCTAAAGGGTCCCCGGGGACAAGAGGCTGGGGCCAGACTCTTCTGAGTGGTGACTAGTGACAGGACAAGGGGCAACGGGCACAAACTGGAACCCAGGAGGTTCCACCTGACCAGGAGGAGAAACTTCTCTGCTGTGAGGGTGGCAGAGCCTGGAGCAGGCTGCCCAGAGAGGTTGTGGAGTCTCCTGCTTTGGAGAGATTCCAAACCCACCTGGACACTGTCCTGGGCACCTCACTGTGGGTGACCTGCTGGATCAGGGGGGGTTGGACCAGATGATCTCCAGAGGTCCCTTCCAACCCCATCATCCTGTGATTCTGTAGGAGTCTCTTGAGTGTTCACAACTGGCTCATTTGTGTACTAGCTTCTCTTTGAGCTGTAGAGACATAACGGTGGCAGTGTCACAGTACAGATGTGAGAGAGGGGGTGAGCCAGGTGCCAGCAAGAAACTCAGACCAGATGGAGGCAGGAGCAATGGTTTATTTGAAAGTCAGAACACTTTCTGTTGTGGTGGAAGCATCTCCTTCAAGATCTTGAACGTTTCATGATGTTTAATGCTAATCTGAGAATCTGATGTCTGTGTTGTGTCAACCCAAGGTTACCAGGAAGGGGATGAGTGTGCTTTTTCTTGATGTTCCCTGACAGAAAGCTGCTGAAGCTGTATACATCTTCTCTTAAGAAATGAGGTAATTGTGTAATCCCACTGCAGATACCAAAAATATTGATGAGACTAATCAGCCCCTTTCTGATGCCGGTTAGCGAGACAGCAGGGTTTCAGGGCCTTGCCTCTGAACATTTCAGTCTGTCTCACTTCCAATGGAATTACTATCGCTTTGTCTTTCCCTGAAGATGATCTTCTCTACACCATTTCTATCTTCTCCTTTTTGTCTGTTACTTGAACACACCTCCTTCCTGCCTTTGTTTTTCTTGCAGCTTCTCCTGTTGCTTAACTACATTCTCCCATTGTTTCTGTATTTTTCCATTTAATCAGATCCATCAGGAGCACTATATAAGAACTGTTTTCTTGGCCGTCACAAATTCTGGATGTTCTGGTCGGAGCTAAGTCTTGAACTTTCTTTGGAGATGTCACATGAAAACTTCTTGACATCATATGTAGTCTTAAATCTCTATTCTGAAAAATGTCTTGAAGGTCTTCTGGCTGCTGCTGAAATACTTTTTTCAAGTTCTGAGCAGAGTCCTGGCAGCAAAAAACATCATGAGATGTAGCTAGGAGTGTGGCAAGGGTGAATTAGGAGCGAAAGAGGGAGAAATGGGAGAAATGTCAGGGCTCCAGCCACTAAGCAGAGAGTCTTGGACAGAGGACATGGTGAGGGAATGTGACTGCTACAGGTCTCTGGGATTAAGTGGATCTGTGGATGAGTTTGCTCAGGGACTAGTGTAGGAGCGTTTCAGATCTTAGACTTTGACAGCAGGCCAAGGTAAATGGAGTAGCAGGGCTATAAAAAGAGCATGCAATCTTCTGAAGTCCTGATATAAAAAAATTCCTGTAGTCGGAGTTCTAGTGCAGGCACTTGGAAGGACCAAGTTAACCTGTAAAATAAAATAACCAGTCTGCAAGCGGTTTAGAAACTCACAGGAACGTGAGGGATAATGAAGAAATCTGGTTGTCACAGGGAGACACAGATGTCCATGCCACACTTAATAAGTTTGTCCCCAAATCTTCAATTGAAGTTTGCAGAGAGCAAGAGCACTGGGAGGTTTTAAACAAGACTTCAGGTAAACCCAATTTAAAGTAATGGAAAATATCAAACTTGACTACAGCCTTGTTTCTCTGTAAGAACAGTTTTACCCAAGGAGCTTGATTGGAAGATAATTGATTCCAAAAGCACGCAGAGCTGGGTGGGTTTAGTAGCGCTTCTCCTCAGCAGCAAGCTGCAGAAGTATTCAGCTATTTCATGAGCTCATGTTTCCCAGTCTACTCCTCAGGATACCAGTCTTGCTGAATTTGGTATGGCTCGTTACAGTCCATCAGTACTGCTGATATATCCTCTGAATTATGGTTACATAAACAGATACTGGAGGAGTACCCTGTCATGTAGGAAATGGAGTACTGTGGCTACCCACATGTGCATTGCCTTGTGCAACTTGAATTCCAAACTGTATTTTGAAGAAAATGGCCAACTGTGAGGCAGATGGGATGGTTCTTGCTGGATGGAGAGTAGAGTTGGACTAGAAAGTCCACAAGCACTTTGTATGCATGGAAACATGTATAAGAGTGTGTTTGTCACAGGAAAAGTGGAAGTCCTTTGGTTAGATGGGAGGTGAAGGTCTCAATCACGTTCTCCGCCAGCACTCAACATGCCTTTAATGTCTTTATATCACTGCCTTGATGATTACATTAACATCTTGGACTCACAGGAGAGGCTCTTCACACACTCCCTCTTGCTTCCTGACCTCTTGAGCTGTGCAGTTCTTAGGTCTTTAAATTTATGAAGTCTCTTGTTTTAAATTTGATCCAGGCTTTGGAGGTGCTGCAGAGAAAGAATGCAGTTTCAAATTTAGTTGCCTAGTTAGAGCTGTGATTTTCTTCTCTTTGTGCTGTTGACTCTGTTGGATGCAGGTGTGTACTAGTGCAGATTCAGATCAAACTAAGACAAACGTATTTGTGCAACAGATCTAGCTCTGTACACATAAAGCATTTTACTGGTGTAGTTCCATGACTGAGGATGCAAAACATACTAATGCCTTAATTTCAAGGCAGTGTACTGAATTTATTTAGAGAATCACAAAGTAATTTTTCTAGAGGGATCTCTGAAGGTCAGACATCCAATGCCCTGCTGAAAGCAGGACCAGCTAGATCACGTTACTCAGCAACTTGGCAAGTTTTTACTGTCTCCAAGAATGGAGATCATACATGGGAGCTTATCTGGTGTCCTTATTCACTGTTTGACCACATTCATATTGATTTGTTGCCCAGTTAATATCATAGAATCTTAAAATGGCTGAGGTTGGAAGGGACCCTAGAGATCATCTCATCCAACCTCCCTGCCATGACAAGGTTGCTCAAGGCCTCATCCAACCTGGCCTTGAACATGTCCAGGGAGGGGGCAACCACAAGCTGGGCAATCAGTTCCAGAGTCTCACCACCCTTGTACTGAAGAACTTCTTCCTAAGATCCAGTCTAAACCTATTCTCCTTTCACTTAAAACCATTTCCCTTTGTGCTGTCACTGCACACTCTTGTGGTAAGTCCCTCTTCAGCCTTCCTGTGGGTTCCTTTCAGATATTAGAAGGCATTTATAAGGTTCACCCCAGAGTCTTCTCTTCTCCAGGCTGAACAATCCCAGTGCCCTCAGCCTGTCCTCAGAGCAGAGATGTTCCAGCCCCTGGATCAACTTTGTGGCCCTCACCTGGAATCATTCCAACAGATCTGTTGTGGTGAGCAGAGCCCGCCCTAGGGAGGGATCGGTGTGCGGAAGATCTTGTGATGTAACGGAAAGCTCAGACTGCCCACGAGGGGTGTTGTGGGCGTGGCTTGTCATATATAAGCAATTGGAGCGACGCAATAAACACCATTTGCAGCATCCTTCACATTGAAGACTGTGTCTGTTGATGGTACCCAACAGTAGAGGTTGGGTGGCAGCTATCCCGGGGATCGGGTGTCGGTAACAACACAGATCTATGTCCCTTTTCTGGTGGGGACACCAGAACTAGACACAGTATTCAAGGTGGGGTCTAACAAGAGCAGAATAAAGGGGAGAATAACCTCTCTTGCTCTGCTGGCCACTCTCCTCTCGATGCGCCCCAGGATGTGGTTGACACCTGGGCTGCATGCATGCACCGCTGGCTCATGTTGAGCTTCTCATCAACCAACACCCCCAAGTCCTTCTCTTCAGGGCTTCTCTCAACCAGCTCTGTACCCAGTTTATATTTGTGCCTGGGATTGGCCTGACCCAAGTACAGGACCTTGCACTGTGACTTCTTGAACCTCACGCAGTTTGCATTGGCCATTTCTCAAGCCTGTCAAGGTCCCTCTGGATGGCCTCTCTTCCCTCAAGTGAGTCCATTGCACCACACAACTTAGTGTCATAATCCATAATCTTATCCAGTCAGGGTTTCCCATATTTCATCTCATCTTGTCTGTTGCCTTCTGTCTCCTGTCATCATGCATTTATCTTTTCTGTACCCTCACATTAAGATAGTTGTAGGTAGCAGTAAGTGTCTTCCCTAATGTTCTTAAGGCTTGACAACACCTTTTTCCTTAGCATCTCTTCATCTTGTTGGCCTCTGCTGGACTCCATCCAGTCTCACCGTCTGTCTTGTATTGGAGAGCCCAAAGGTGGACATCATACTCCAAGTTTAGACTCACAAATGTTGAAGAGAAGGGAACAATCCCTTCCTTTAACCTACACTCTTACTAATACAGCCTCAGTTACTAATACTGCTCAGGATGTGGTTGACCTGCTTCACTGTGAGCCCCTGCTGCTGACTCATGCTCTACGCGTTGCCCAGCAGGACGCCCTGCATCCTCTGCTGATCTGTTCTCTCTCAGGTCAGCTCCAGCCTGTCCTCTTCTCTTTTTTCTCTACAACCTGATGGCAGGGCTCTTCAGTTGCTTTGGTTGAGCTTTGTCAGCTTTGTGCTGGATCATTTCTTCAGCCCCTTGAGGTCCTTCAGAATAGCAAGATGCCTTCCAGTGTGTTGTCCACTGTCCTGTTTGGTAACATCTGTGAGCCTGCTGAGGGCACACGCCATCCCATCATCCAGCACATTAGTAAAGACATTAAACCATATTGGCCCTACCATCGATCCCTGAGGACAACACTTGGACTTTAAGGTACTGATCACAACTCTTCAATCCTGATGTTCCAGACAATTTTCCACCCACCATGTAATACACTCAAAAATCAGATGCTTATCCGTGTGTTGGGTGCAGCTCCCAGCTCTACAGCTATGCAAGTTGTCATGGGAAAGCTGAGCCACCTTGGGCTCTGAGTGATCCTGTGTGGCAGAGGAAGACTTAATTAAATCATATTGGCTATCTGCCAAGGTGTTCATTAAACCTCACTGGCTATTTATTTAGTAAGATAGTCAGGATTTTTTTTCCCAAGCATTTGATTTTGGGTCTGTGCTGCTTCAAATAGTAATTATTTGTAATTCAAGTTGTAATTATTTGTTTCCCATACTGACTCCTAAAATTGTAAATTTTTAAATTTAGTGTAATTTGGATCAGGCTGATCTAGTAACATCACATTGCAGCTCTGGTTAAAATAGTCCTAACATTAAAAAAAGAGAATGGTGAGTTTCTGTGCAGCTGTTTCGCTGCCACCCAGAAGAGGCTGCTGAGACTGAGAGGTGGGCTGTGGGGAGGAACGGGGCATACTGGTGTGGGTGCCAGCCTTTCTCTGGCTGGGACAGAGAGCGTTGCTGGGAGCATGCATGGGACAAGACCACAGCTTCCAGTTTAACTCCTGAAATGGTTGCTTAAAGAATGAATTAAGCTTAGCTTGGTAAGGTGGACGGTCTCCCCTGTGCTGTGGGTGCGTGTGGCCTGTGGGTTTTGGAGACAGAGCTGCTGTCTCTGGACAGTCCATCACCATGGTGCTGCCTGGCCACTGGATCCCAGGAATGATGGATGGAGGGACACACACCATGGGACAGGGAGGAGAGGATCCCTCCTTCACATCGAAATCAAATGCTGAGCATGGCAGAGCTGTCCATGGAGCAACCTGGCTGTAGTTGAGCATTGTCTCTGGCCAAGCTCCATTAGCCATCCTAGGCAGTGACTGCCTCACCTTAAGTACCTCTTTTCTGGCATGGCAAATGTAACTGAACAGGGAAGCCATACTATTTTTTCCCATCTCTTATATTTGGAGCTGTAGCAGCATAGTTGAGGATGAAGCTGTTCTTTGCACAGTATTTCTCAGGTGCTCCTGGCTACACCTTGGTCCTGTTGCAAGCTGTACCCCAGCTGGGACACAAAATGTTGAGGGTTCATTTGTGTCTAACTTGCTGGCAGAGAGAGGTAGTTACAGCCTAAACCAAAGCAACAGTGTAGTAAAACTCTGTTTCAAAAGCCAAATTAAGTCTTGAAAATTTAATTCCTTCATAGTAACAAAGGGAGAAGCAAAGAAATGAAGAGCTGCTTTCAAATTCTGGGGAGAGATGTTGGAATCATTTAGGCTTTTCCCTGCACATTTCTCCAGATGCAAAACCTTGCAGAGGAGGGGGCTGGGGAGAGGAGTTACTTCTAAATACAGAAGGTAGTGAAATGCAGGGTCAGAGCTGGGGTTGGTTGAAATGCAGTAACCTTCTGTAGCGTGTTAAGGATGTAGACAATCAGGGAAAAAAATCTTTTTGTATTTTTAATTCTAATATTTTTCCCCCCACAGGTATAGCCTTTACAGACCTCCCTGTAAGTACACCTATTTTCAGTATTTTAACTAAGGATGCAAACAGAAGAGAGAGGGAAGAGTGGGGGGGGGTGATTTTTTATTTCATTTTTTTTCCCTGTTTGATGCCCTGTTAAAAAATGGTAACACACATTACTGTGGATGCTCCCTTCTCTGAAACTTCATGATCCTGTGGCTGGGTCTGTGGGCTACTCGCATGCCTTCTCATCCCTCACCACCGCTAAGAATATGTTGGTCCATCTTCTGTAATTAAAGCAAGGATTCAAACGTCATTACAGGTCAATGTCTTCCAAATGCAGCTTCAACTGTGGGGAGTACATGTGTAAAGTCATTGAGTAGCCTCTCATGTCCATCATCAGTTATTATTCTCAGTGTCTTCCTCTCTCATCCACATTTTGCAGCCATGGTGGAATTGTTCTCTTACCATGGTGTGATTAAGGAAGTGTGTTTCTGAGCATGAAGGTCAGGCTTAGCTGACTGTAGCATATGTGCCCATCGCACAGATTTTTGACAAGCCTCCACCCATGATGAGTAATCAGCTTGTGGAATTGCTGCAGGAATGTATTAGGCATCCATGTGGGGCTGATAGTTACTCCTCTGACTCACCAACCCAGGTGCTAAGTTACTGGAGTGCAATGACACCAGCTGAGTTACACCAGGCAGTAATGTCTCATCAGGTCTTACAAAAGCACAGCTTTCACAATGGGTCATGAACAAAAAAATAGTTGCTCTTTTTCAAACCAAAGCATTCCTGGACAAGGAGCAGATGCTTAGGGCAAGCAG